TAAACTCTGCTGATGGACATGCAAGACATCTTTGCGGTCAGGAGGAAAAGCTCTTCTTGTAGAAAAAAAATATATACGAGGGTAAGCCAAAACTTATCCGCAATTTCGTCATAACATATAATTAGCTCTGGCACACGGCCTTCTGCTAATACTTGCTTATAGTTAGTGTTATTGTGGTCACATGATCGAAGTTTCAGTTTGATCGCGCCAATTTTCTTGCTGTTATAGTGCAAACATGGCCGTTCTTAGTAGAAGCCGGACCACTGCTCTTTCTTCCTCCTTGTTCTAAAGAGCAGTGGTTCGAGTTCTCTGGTCGGATGGAGCTGAAATTAATCCGTGTCTTTTAACACAATACGGCGACAGTTCACTACCGCGTAGTAATGTGTACGAGTGGATCGAGAAGTTTAAAAGTGGCCGGAGAAACATGACACACGAAAAAGGAGCAGGACGTCCGTCGACCTCTACCACTGACAAGAAAATTCAGCAAGCTTGAAAGATGGTAATCGCGAACCGGCAAGTTATCATTGATGAGATACTTTGATCCTCCTTGGTTATACACGGCTTTTCTTACATGAAGCATTGTCATTATTATTAATTTTTGACTCATATTTCGTTCATCTTATTTTGTTGCTTCTTTACATCTAGTAGTAGTAGATGTAATAGTCTTAAGTCGTCTAAATTTCATGCATGAAGCATTGTCATGATTATTAATTTTTGACTCGTATTTCTTTCATCTTATTTTGATACGTGTCTACACCTAGTAAATCATCGTTCTTGGATCCCTCTTCAACATTCAGATAGTTAAGTCTCATGTCTTTTCGCCAAAATTTCTGTTCAAACTGGAACTGATCTTTACTTGATGTTACAATAGCTTTTCGGCTAAGTTTGAACTCCTCATATTAAAGACTAATTGTTTGTTTATTTGTTTATGTGTTGGTAACTCTAACCTGAAAGATAAAACAATTTGAAAATTAATAATGAATAACTAAGTAAATAAAGTGAATGAATAGCTAGTAAATGAAATAAGTAGCCACTTGTAAGTTGTTTGTTTAGATTGTCAATGTCGCTGTCAACAAAATTGTCGCCACGTTCTGGACAATGCAAAAAACAAATACATTAATCTATAAATGGATTATCCCGACGATGAGATTTCATTATTCAGTCATTATCAAAACATCGCAAGTTGATTTGATTTGGTTGTTTTTGTTTAGCGGTATATCAACACCTCTATGGGTTTTTTAATGCCTAAATCTAAATATGAAAATTCAAACATTATAACTAATTCAACATTATTTCATGATTAAATAATAATTACTAAGCTACATTTTTTTGCCAGATAATATTACAAAATCAAATGAAAAGTGAAAACGTGCTTTTCCTTACAAGAAATCAGATTAACCATACCAAATTGTTTTTTTTTTGTTTTGTTTTGTTTTTTTGTTTTTTTTTTTTTGGTGGGGGGTCACTTTTTTTGAAAATGTAAGCCATGTTTTTCAATTTTGCTATAAAATATATTGTTGGTCATTTTGCTATAAAATATATTACTGTTAATTTTACTATAAATATATATTGTTGGTAAATTTACTATAAATATGTATCGTTGGTAAATTTACTATAATTATATATTGTTGGTAATTTTATTATAAAATGTATTGGTGATCATTTTCTTGTAAAATTTATTGTTAGTAATGCTACTATAAAATGTATTGTTTGTCATTTTACTGTAAAATATATTGCTTGCCATTTTTCTACAAAATATATGGTATAATTTTACTATAAATATTTATTGCAGAGAATTTTTACTATAAAATGTAAATATGGTAATTCTTTTTATAAAAATGTTCTGTTGGTATTTTTACTGTAAAAATGTAGTTTTATACTTTCCCAGTGTTTTGATTTTTGTTTGGGAGTTCAATATTTGCTCATAGTTGGGACCCTAACAAGGGCTACCACACCGGGTGAACGTGGACTTGTCATTATTATGAATTTTTGACTAATATTTCTTTCATCTTATTTTGTTGTTTCTTCACACCTAGTTACTACTAGGTGTGTAGTAGATGTAATAGTCTGAAGTTGTCTGAATTTCTTACATGAAGTATTGTCATTATTATTCATTTTTGACTCGTATTCAAACAACAATTAAGAGGTGGTTCCAAAACCTATAATCTTCGCATTAGAGGCCTTGCTTTCGGGTGTAGTTTATCGGCATCCCCAGGACTTCGTCGCAAGTCAAAAGTATATCGGAATCCAGTTAAATTTTAGAGCAGGAATGAGTTACTACTGTACTTGTCAGGTACGAAAGCATCGACTGCGGAGGGTGGGGGTGTTATCAGTGGCGTCAACTGAGATTGCGATTTTAGTTTAATTCTGAACTAAATATGGGCTTTTATGGCTCTTGCGACATAAATTTCTCTTCACTTGCTGGCAAAGAATGTAGCTTTATATATAAGCAGGCCCACATACGTACATATGGCTAATGCTGACCTCCAGGAGAGTGACTCATTGCGCCTTCTCGGTCTCACGGTTTTCAATAACGTGAAGTGTCAATTGTTAGAACTGCTGCCAGTAATGTTGGATCCTTGCAAGACAATTTCTCTCGCCGGAATCTATCTTACACATGTATAAGTCTACCATTCAACCATGCATTGAATATTGCATTTGGTCTGGTGCTTTTGCTGTGCATTCAGAGATTCTTGACGTTTGCCTCTTAGTGTCAAATACTTTCAATCTCATCCAAGATCATATTCAGGTGTGAATTGCTAAGACACAAACTAATGTAATAAATAGTCATTATTTTTTAATCAACAGAGCGCGTTTCATCACAACTGTCAATTACATTAGTTTTTTTGTCTTAGCAATTCACTCCTGAAGATGATGGCCTTGGATGAGACTCAAAGTACTTGAGAAAATATAAAGAAATGTAAAATAACTACGTTGCTTTCCTTAATGATTTTAATGGCAACATTAAGAAATTGATGCGTGATTTTGAAACGAGTAAAATTAAAATAAATAGATATAAGTCTAGTTTATTCAACTAAACATCCTATATTTTGATGTATGTGTTTGATTGTGTTCCTCATTTCTTATATAATAAAACAAATCGCATTACTTTTTGACTCACCCTCGTAGGTCCGTTTTACACTAGAGTCAAAAGATCACAATAGTTCCAGCTTGTACAAGATGTTTTTAAAAAGTAGGAATAGGAAAGGTGTATTTTACAACAGATTAAAAAAGGTATACATAACATCGGTTAGGGCACTTCGGTGTGAGGCAATGGTTAACAAAATTGTCTCACTACATCAATTGCGACTGGATAATGCGTTCGATACTTACTAGGTGCTCCACACTTTCGGCCTTGTGCCACATTTAAGCTACGCTTATGAAATCATTTAAAAGGCACCTCGACGTGGTGTAATCGTTAGCAAGCTTGTCTTGATAAAACAATTGCGACTGAGTAGTTAGTTCGATCCCCACTGGGCGCTCCATACTTTTGGCCTTGTGCCACATTTAAGCAGCGCTTAGATAATCACCCTAAGAGCGGTTAACGCGAGCACGCATAAAGCTGCTTTATGACTAAGTTTGTAAATATTCATTAAAAAGGTGGACCCCATTATTTTGCGGGTGGGGTGTCTTACCACTCTGCAGGGAATGCAATCGATGTAGTCTAACCCCCATCGACTGAGTACACCATAGTTGAAATAAAGGGGTCTATCAAATACGTGTCTTCTTTCAGATATATACAATGTGCAACATTGAAAAACAGGCATGCGCCGAGAGTATTGATAATGCAAATAAAAATGGAGTCAAAACTGCAAAGCCAATTTGTCATGTTGCTAACAGTTCGCTAATTGAAACTGAAATCAAATGAGAGAAAGCAGAAGACATTTTTGGCTGAAAACCAATCAAGTGATGAAAGCCAGGCAAAACTTTCTGACACATACGGAACTAACCAATTACCTAAAGGGATGGCCATATATAGGTAGACATTGGTCATTTATAGACTATCAAGGAAATAGGTCGGGTTTTTACTTGAGTCTATCGGTAGGTTAGGTGTATACGTGAGTCTCTAGGTAGACATTGGTCGGGTTTATATTTTTAGTCTATATTTAGACATTAGTCGTGTTTGTAGAAGATTATTCCAGCTACAAGGCCTAGCAGTTGCTATCTGCACCTTTATTTACCTTCACTTCCCCACAACAGAGCTTTATGCGTGCTCGCGTTAACCGCTCTTAGGGTGATTATCTGAGTTCTCTCTGAAGCTATAGTGGGAAAATAAGCAGCACCTGACAGTCAACCAAGGGTTATTAATAACCGCATACCCACACATCCATCTCAACAGCAAGAAAAACTCGAGTCTATCCACGAAGATAATCTTGGAATAACCAAAAGTTAAGGACGTGCAAGCGATTCAATCTGGTGGCTTCTGGTAACGAAGCAGATCTAAGCAATGGTAAATAAGTGCCAGATTAGTGCAAAGACACGACCCGCCCCCCAAAGGTACTCCTAATGCCACTGTCATTCCCAAACAATGACACATGGATCCGAATTGGCAACGTTAGCTTCAGAAGAAATTCCATTTCACATTGCTTTCATGAAGGAAGCTTTGAAGGTATCGACGTCAGCGTGATAATGGTCAGGGAAGCTAGGGCAATTTTTCTACATAACACACATTCACACGTCTTAGTACCTCACATTAAACCTACTATAAGTCACATCCTACCTCTGTTGTGGAGAAGTGAAGGTAAAGGTGCAGATAGCAACTTGTGGCTGGAATCATCTACAAACCCGAATAATATCTAAATATAGACTAAAAGTATAAACCTGACCAATGTTTACCTATAAACACAAGCAAAATCCCAACCAATGACTACCTAGAGTCTCACGTATACACCTAACTTACCGATAGACTCAAGTAAAAACCCGACCGATTTCCTATACTTATATACTTATAGATTCAAGTATGAACCTGACTAATATCTATCAAGTAAAAAAACCTATCAATGTCTATCTATAGATTCAGGTATAAACCCGGCCTGTTTCCTTTATAAACTCTTGTATAAATGTGGCCAATAAACCTGATCTATGTCTATCTATATACTCAAGTTAAAACTCGTATAATATCTACATATAGATAAAATCCGGCTTTTGTCTAGCGATAGATTTAGGTGTAAACCCGACTACGTCTACCTTTAGCATCAATAACAATTATAATAACTAAATTTCGACATAAAATGACCCAACAAGGTTTATATACCGTAAAATTTACTAAGAGGCATAAAAGGTTAATGGCAAAAACTTTGGGAGTGATTTCGATCTTTATTAGTTTGCAGCATTGTTGTAGCTTTGTACCAGACTGTATAGATGGCCACTCGTATTCTAGGATACCTGTCTACTAGGGCGGCTAGCAGACACTTGCTCAGTGTTTATTTAACACCCACAGGGCCCACCTGTGTTTTATACTTCAACTATGCTAATCAGATCTTAGTGACAGGAAAGAGTTCAAGCACCTCGTCCACGATGACTTGTGACTTCGTGCTACCCAATTTCACTCACAAGTTGACTCACATGGGTCAAACCCGTGGATATGGTTTTCAGGCACGCTGCGACCGACCCCCTCCAGTCCGATAACATCAGGAAGTCTCCTTCCTGACAAATCGACCATAGTGAGATTCGAACACGGGTCTCCTGGTCAGACAGCAAACGTTCTAAAAACTCAATGTGCCAGACTAAACTATGCATAATAACTTCAATAAATTTCCTGGTATTTCCAAGCACATTTCATGGACCATTACTAGTATCATGAGAGTTTATAATTCATTAGGAACTCTGTGCCAAACTAAGTAATGATGTAATAGTCTTTTCGGTTTTTGCTTTTTTTATTTTCTTTACAAATTGGTCATTGTTTTTCTTTTCCCTATATCTCTCTTTCTGCGAGTGAGTGTTAAAAATTTCTCAGTTCAATACATTCCCCCAAATTAAGGAATCTGATGTTTGACCATTAAAATACTGATTTGGAGAAGCGGGCCGAGTCGAGTACTATTCAGCATTCCATCGCATTTCCCTTAGTTTATGGCTTCACACATCCTTCTCTTCTCAAATCTGACCGCATTTCCTTTTTAAGGTCAAATGGTCAAAAATGATATAGGAAGATTGTGCTACGCCAAAGTTCAAAACGAGGAGGATCTGCCCGGCTTGATACCTAGCATTGGAAATCCTGGCTTTTAGTTTGTCTGAAACCCCAATCTCTGGGGTAACTAACTTTGCCATAAGGCAAGCAGTATAATATTGTGCCTCTAACTGCTTTGTATTGATCCCTGGGATCAATGGGACTATTGATGGGTCGATAAATATCTGGGGATCAAACGGGAGTTGATAAATAAATTGTAATGACTTGCGACTAAAACTTACCAATTTTCCAAACAGATATCAATGTCCTTGTTCATCAAAAACTCATCCTTCCCATTAATGATGCAAACCAAGTGAATGGAAAAGCATGATAACTTTTTTTCATTTTTAATGCATTTAACATTACCTATGCTTTTGGCCTTGTACCAAATTTTTTCTTGCAAAATAAATTTTACTTCCCTCTCTGGTACAGAGACTTCATGAATTTAAGCACAGCACTAGATTGGGGGCAAGGTCTCATCATTTTAAAATTGAAATGGGTAACCGTAAATTCTATGCTAACAGTTTCTTCTATCACACTTCTCGTTTGTGGAACTCTGTTCAGGCTTCTTACACTCTTGTCAACTTTGATCTTCAAAAATTAAAATCCAATGTCAATCGTTATCTTCTGTCTTCTTAATTCTTGTTCTATTTTTTTGCCTTCTCTCCATAATAGTATATTTTTTTATATTCTCTAACACTCACTAACCCCCTTGCGTCTTAGTGGCTTTACTGCCTTTCTTGAGGTAAAATGATTTTTTTAAAAAGCCAGGACTACTTCCGATTGAAATTTATAAAATCCTTTTCTTTAGGAAAATAGGTTTCTCCAGTTTAGTAGTTGTTACTTCTCTTTCCAGTATTGAGAGGGGTTTCCTCTCTGACCTTTTATATGAATTAGTGTGGAATGTCAACATCGTGATTATATCATTATTTTCTCTTCGAGTTATATGCGCTACTCATTTTAGTAGTTGCCGCTGTTGATAGTCCTCAAGTGATGTGATTTTCGTTATTTAATACAGTTCTTTGTTTGTGATTCTGTAGCACCAGTCCACAAGTTTTGAAAAAGTGTGGTCTTCACCGAGACTCATAGGATTCACTCACCCAAAGCCATTTTTTAACCATTGATCTTAGAAAGCGGTTCTATACAGCAGACAGTATTCAGTAATATTTCTGAAAGGGTTTGGCGCCATGCATGACATCCATGATTGGATGAAAACAAACAACCACACAATTACCAGTTAGACAAAATCTTTCTCTCCCCCCTCTCTCTCTTTACCTATATTTCTCTCACCCTCTCTTTCTCATTCTATATCTATCGATCTCTCTTTTTCTTCTCTGCATCAAGCACTTTCTTTTTCTCTCACTTTCTAGTTCTTTTTCTCTAGCTCTCTATCTGTCTCTCTTTGTCGCTCTCTGTATCATTCCGTTTCTATTTCTCTCTATTTCTCATTAATCTATTTCTGTCTCTCCTTGCTATTTACACTCTCGTCTCTGTCTTTCTCTCTCTCTCTCTCTCTCTCTCTCTCTCTCTCTCTCTCTCTCTCTTTCGCTCTGTGTCACTACTTTTCTCTTACTCTCTTTTTTCTTTTTTTCTCTTTCTCTCCCTTTCTGTTTTCTTTCTATCTCTTTCTCGTTGTTACCTATTGTTACCTTGTTTCTCTCTTTTTATCTCTCATTCGTTCATTCCTTACATCTGTCTCTCACTTGCTCTGTGTGTATCTGTCTTTCTCTCTCTTTCTCTTAATCACTGTGTCTTTGTCTACGACTCTCTTTCTCTCTCTCCCTCTTAATTTCTCTATATGTATCTATAATATTCAATCTCCCTCTTTCTCTCGCTCGAACCATACCATCTGGGTCTGGTTCTCTCTCTCTCTCTCTCTCTCTCTCTCTCTCTCTTTTCTTTCTCCTCTTCTTTTCTGTCACTTACGCTCCCATCTCACTGTCTCTCTCTTCTCTCTCTATCTCTCACTCACTCTTATTCACTTTGTACTTATTTCTCTCTATATATTTTTCTCTGCGTGTGTGTGTGTGTGTGTGTGCGAGTATGTCTGTCTGTGTCACACTTTCTCAATCTTACACTGTATATCTTTGTATCTCTAATCTCTCTCTCTTTCTTTCTCATTCAATCCTTTTCTCTCTCTCTCTCTCTCTCTCTCTCTCTCTCTCTCTCTCTCTCTCTCTCCGACGTAAAGAGTAAACATGAAAGCAAAACGGAGCGAGTACGAAGAATGACAAAAGAAAGTTTGCAGGAGAAAAGAAAGAAAGAAGTAAAAAAAAGAAGGAAAAAGAAAGAAATAAAAAGAAGGAAAGAAAAAGAAAGAAAGTAAAAGAAAGAATGAATGAATGAATGAAATAATGAATGAAAGAAAAACTGAAAGAAAAAGAATGAATGAATGAAAAAAAGAAAAAGAAAAAAGAAAGAAAAAAAGGAAAGAAAGAAAGAATAAACTTTTAGAACACAACGATAGAGGATAAAAGCAAAGATGGAAGTAAAGAACAAAGCAGACCATTTCGACAAAAATGAAAATAAAAATAAAAACGTTTGGATAAAAAGGAAGAAAAATAACAAATGATAAAAAAAATGAACAAAATCAAAAAGAAGACATTGCTACTAACTTGAAAGAAACCAAATTATTGAACTAATAATTTTATTTTCCTTACTTAAACGCATAAAATTCGTAAGATTCCAAGTGGAAAATCATTTTGGACTAATGGCGTCATTTCTAATCAATACGAATGTTGTTTTTTTTTCATAAATCAAAAACTTAAAAAAAGAACGAGATCTCTTCCATTATCCGATCAACACACAAGCGATGAATCTAAGGATTGACCTTTACCTAATGCACTGGTCCACTTGGACAGCCGAGAGAGAAAATGACCAACAGTGTCTGTGAGGAGTGTGATTGTAGAGAAGAGGAGATCCAATCCACCCACGCTAAGAACTGCCACCCACGCTGATAAAGAATAGAAAATACAAACTTTTCCCCTAATGAATGAATGGTTGAATAAATCAAAGAAGTAAATGGGAAAAATAAAAATGGGGAAAAAAATGGTTACCCTTCTCCAAAATTGTTTTGTTTATTTTCCGACTTTCATATCCAGAGAACGATCCATCGATTTCCATGTCTCGCTATCTTGACTTACATTTTCTTTTCTACGCCCACGGGATCTCTCCGGAAGTCTATATCTGTGCCTCGTTTTTCTCATAAACGATATCTTGGGCGTTTTCTGATACCAACCATACCGGTTCGCGTTTATGTTTTTTTTTTTTTGTTTGTTTTTTTTTCCTTTTAAAAGAAAAACAATCTAATAACTCAAAGTGTGTAACATTGCCCTGTTCGTTGATACCATTAGAATTGTTTCATGGATTAAAAACAACAACAAAAAATCAGCTTTTTTATCTCCTTTCATATTCTTCATTTAAAACAATGGTTTTAAGCAGTGTCGATGACAGTCACAAACACCGCTTAATTAAGTAAATTTAATTTTGCGATGCATTTCTTTAATGAATACGAAGTTACACTACAGTGTATGTGTTTGAAGAAAAAAAGAAAGAAAGAAAGAAATAAAAAGAAAGAATGAAAGAAAGAAAAAGAAAGAATGAAAGTAAGATGAACGAATGAAAGAAAGAAAAAAGAAAGAAGGAATGAATGAATAAATGAATGAAAAAAGAAAGAAAAAATAAAGACATAAAAATAAAAAAAGAAAGAATGAAAGAAAAAAGAAAGAATGAAAACGAAAGGAACAATGAAAAAAAGAAAGAAAGAAAAAGAAACAAAGAATGAAAGAATGAAATAAAAAATAAAGAAAGAATGAATGAAAGAATGAAAGTAAGAAATAACGAATGAATGAAAGTAAAAGAAAGAACGAATGAATGTATGAATGAATGAGTGAAAAAAGAAAGAAAGAATAAAGAAAGAAAAAGAAAGAAAGAAAGAAAGAAAAAGAAAGAATGAAAAAGAAAGAAAGAATGGAGGAAAAAGAAATAAAGAAAGAAAAAGAAAGGAAAAGAAACAAAGAGTGAAAGAAAGAAAAAAGAAAGAAAGAATGAATGAACGAATGAAAGACAGAAAGAAAGAAAGAATAAACTTTTAGAACACAACGATAGAGGATAAAAGCAAAGATGGAAGTAAAGAACAAAGCAGACCATTTCGACAAAAATGAAAATAAAAATAAAAACGTTTGGATAAAAAGGAAGAAAAATAACAAATGATAAAAAAAATGAACAAAATCAAAAAGAAGACATTGCTACTAACTTGAAAGAAACCAAATTATTGAACTAATAATTTTATTTTCCTTACTTAAACGCATAAAATTCGTAAGATTCCAAGTGGAAAATCATTTTGGACTAATGGCGTCATTTCTAATCAATACGAAAGTTGTTTTTTTGTTTTTCATAAATCAAAGACTTATATATATACAGCACTTATTAAAATAATGTGAATGCATTTCTATAATAAAATAATTACGTTTCAATAGTAAAATCATAATTTTTCATTATGTGCGTCTCGTATTTGTTCTGTAACTATTGGAATACATTAAAGATGTGATACATTCTTAATCATATCTATGATAGCGCATATTACGTATAGAGCTCAGATTAATAATTACACTGCATTTCTATAGTAATATAAATATGCTACGGATAACTATAGTAAATTAATTCGTAGTGCTTTCTTCCCCTATGTACCGTGTCCTTTCAGCATGTGGACGATTATGGCTCTCCACACCCTTCGATTCTTTGTATCTCTTAGCAACGTTTGTACCTTTGAGAAAATTCCACCTTCGTTCCTCCAACAATTCGCAAAAGCTCATCGGGTAGGTGGCTTGCTGACTTCTGTTGTCCCTTTTGTTTTAAATATGTGAGTTTCAAATTCTCCAAACTTTCTTTCGTCATTGTGTATACAAGATATTTCAGCCGCTCTATCTGATTCTTTGTTTAAGAGAGGCAGATAGATTCGCCTTTGGTCCAGTTCACACTCCTCCCCAGTCTTTTAAACAAGGGTAAAAATTTATCTTTTGCTTCCTGTTTAGAACTGGGTTTCCGGTTTCTTCTAAAGTCTTCTCATTTTCTTTCACTTTGCTTCTTAGTGGCATTATCGCCTTGCTTTGGGTGAACTGATTTAAAAAAAAAATCTGTTTCTTTCCATTTTCCTTAAAACTGTTTCGTTACATGCTTCGGCCGTGGTATTCTCATCATCCTTCTGTAAAACCACAATTTTCTTATCGCCAGTCTTTTCTTTATCTGTGATGAGATTTCCCAGCGTTCACTGCCATATAGGACGATTGATATTTCATAAAATTTCTATAATAAAATAATTTCTATGAATTCGATATCTTTAACATGATATATCATTCTATATTTAATCATTAGAGTTGATGAATTTGTTTAATAAATCCTGACTTCAACAATTTTACTAGTGTAAAATAATTTCGAATGATATTTCCTATATGCTTTTAGGATTTTAAGTGTTTATGTTGATCTATATTGGCTTGGAAAAGAGGTATTTCTTTAATGAAAGGAGATAATTGATAAAATCCGAAGCGACGGTTAACATTTTTGCAAGATTCGATGGCAGCACTCTCAAGAACTTTCCGCCTATGTAAGTTATTTTCTCTTTTAACAGTGGCAGATACATGATGCGATAAATAAATTGTCGTCTAAATTACGCAAAAATGAAAATAACAATAGAATCTCATTTTAACAGATATATTTACCAAAATTACAAAAAATAGCTTAGAGTAAATTTATTCAAGATAATCGCCATTGGCTTCAACCACGGCCCCCAGACTACTTTGGAATCTCTTCCATCTCTTTTGGATGGTCTCCTTGTTTTAGTCGGTGAATGCTGCCATAATCATTGCCTTCAGTTCATCTTTGGTGTTACTAGGTGTTTTGTTGGACTCTCGCTCAATCCCGCCCCACATATAATAATTAAGAGGGTTGCACTCTGGGGAATGAGGTGATGTAGTCACAGAGATTTTTCTGACCGTTATGACTTGGTTCTCTTGTTTGTGTGGCATGGTGCAGAGTTCTGTTGCCATACTTAGGGTCTTCCAGTAGCCACTGTCTTGACACAGGGAAGCACTGACTCTTCAAGAGACTTGATATAGGCCTCCGTATTGAGCATGGGGCCCTCACCAACAAATTTAGAGGTCCTTTTCTTATCAGAATGATCAAAGTGAGTTTTCCAAGCTGCCGCACCTTCGTAATCACCATCAGACTCATCCATCTCTTTCCAAATCCTCTGCAGTGTCCTCAGATTGACACCTCTGAAATGTTCGTAATGGAGCAGAGGTTGATGAAATTAGGACGAAACGGCCGTCCAATGCGCTCTGCATTCTGTTGAGGTTTCTTTTAGACTTGATGAATTACTTAATTATGATTATTTCAAATCCTCCTAATTATTTCTATCTGTATATCCTATAAGACGAAACGGCCGTCCAGTCCTTCTTGCACTCTGTTGATGTTTCTTCTAGACTCGATGAATTACTTAATTAAGATATATATATATATATATATATATATATATATATATATTTTTTACAATTGTAATTTATATACCATCAGTAAGGTGTAAGAAAAGTTTGTTCTGTTTAATGAAAATAAACATTTACCACTCTTTGTGCGTCAGTTTTAACATTTAATATTTAATATTTCAAATTCTATATTGTGTTAATAGGACTCGCTTGGATTATACCAACGGATTACTACTTGTGTATATATATATATATATATATATATATATATATATATATATATATATATATATATAATGGTACAATCATACATTCGCTAAAAAGTAATGAAAATATGCCCAAAACGAGAAAAGACCAAATGATTTATCTTATGTAATTTTTTTTTTTTTAATTCTTTGTAGAACCTTTGAAATTTTAGTTACATGTATTGTTTTTCTAATGCCAACGGAGAGCCATAAATTAGTACAGGAGATTTGAGCGTCTTTTTGCGATGAAAATATATTGATTTGGAAATTCTTGTAAAAATAAAAGAATTCACGGATTTTAATGAAACTTTCAGATTCACGGATTTTAATGAAATTTTACAAATGAATGTTAATGAATTGTTTCTTTTTTCAAAAATCTTGCTAAAAATATTGTTTACATCTGTTACTCATCAATTAATTTAATTTTATGAAATTTCGCGGAATTCCATTTTGTAGGGTTCAATGTTTATATTAGGTATAAGCAGAAGTCTTTGGAAAATTTAAATCATTTTTTTTTTCTAAATTGGGATTAGCAGTTACCAAAAATCTGCTCTGAATGGTAAAATCAAAAATGCAATAACACTAAGACATTGTTTAATAAGAAAAGATTTTAATTGTTTTATGAATAAGATATATTTTGGACACTGTTTTCTTCTTATTATTTTTTTTATTTAATTAGAATAATTTATAAAGTTTTAAATCTTTTAAAATTCTCTATAGTTTTCTTTAGTAAGAATTCTCGAATATTCAGACCTGTAGGAGAAAAATAAATATACTGTTTAATACATAAACAGGACATCTACACAAAGATAGGTATCCACTAAAAATAACGTTTAAGTAATAAATTCTGTCGGGTTAATAAATAAAAACCTTGCAAAAATCAGATTATTCAGAAATTAATAAAATTATTTTTAAAGTTTTATTTTTAGAAAATTTTGGTAGAAATATTTTTACATCTGTCCCCCCTCCCCCACACACACTTATTAATTTTATGAATTTCCGAATAATTCTTTTTTGAGGCGCTAAATATTTATATTAGTTATAAGAACAAGTCTTCGGAGAATTTAAATCCTAATTTTGGGGGATTAAACAGGATCCCCAGTTACCAAAAATCTGATATGAATTGTAAAATGCCATAAAAACTAAAAAATGTATTTCATTAAAGAAATTTTAATTGCTTTTAAGAATAGAATATATTATAAGCAATAATGCTTATAATATTTAGAATTTTTTTCGATAAATAATGAATTGTCTCCCTTTGATTTTAAATTTAAACTAGAATAATTTTAAAAGTTTTAAATCTCTTAAAATTCTGTATTAATTTGTAGCGGCCAAGTTATATTGTTAATGAATAAAAACTGTATTTATTGTCCTCATCTTTGTTGCAATGTTCATCACAACGATACGGTCGTTGTACGCTCCGTCGTTCTTCGAGTGTTTGGAATGTCGAACTGAACTCTTTATTTCGCTCAGGTACTGAATTCACATCTCTTTGGGTCCTGTCACTGGATCTAACCAACGCCTTTATCCACTGTGCCATATGTCCTTAAGGACACATAGCATGTCGACCTGGTTAAGCCAGTGGAGAACTTAGAGAGGGGAATTAACAGGAGATCGATATATCGGTATGAATCATGCAGAGTCCTTGTGGGCAACAGCGTTTGCTATAGATGACATGAATTTGATACTAAAATTCTACGTCTATTTTAGAATATATAAAGGAATAAAAAAAAACAATACAATTATAGAGAACGACTAAATAAAAAAAGAGAAATGGATAAAGTATAAGAGGAGTAAATGAGAAGGAAAAGAGAAATTTGGTGTTGTTGTCTGTTTATTAAAACATCCTATATATTCAATCCCCAGCATTTCCTGCATTAATTATTTCACTGGCTTACTTTGGACGCAACTAAAAAAAAACAAAAAAAAAAACAAAAGAGATGAGGTGGGGCGCGCTTTACCGCGCCTTCCTGGAAAAAGAAAACAAGCCGCACTTCATGATCACAGTTAAATAAAAAAAAAATATCAAGATTTAAAAATAAAGAATAAATAATATTGAAAAAAATCGTGTTTCTCAAAATATATAGAACTAGAATTTCTTCTCACAGTATTTAGTATTGTTGAAGTTATCATTTACACCTTCTGTCGAGATTTAAAAACTCTACATTTCGTTCAATTTCGCAAACCTATTGATGAAATTTGAATAAGCTGATTTGTTTGGAAAAATACTTTCACAAAATCTCTACTTTAATAATTTCTTTAGTTTAATTTTATAGGACTTCATGGTAAAATAAAATTTCCTTTTTTTTCCTTTTTAACAACGAAGAATAGATTCTTAGGATTTCTTACTCTTGTGCATGCAA